TTTTGGGGGGTTTAATTTCCTTTCAGCGACATTCTATACACTTTACACTGCCAGTCTCTTTAGAACTGCTGATTTAAAGTTTTTTTTTTTTTTTTGCAGTTGCCATGAAACAAGAGCTTTTTAGATGTCGCATCTCTAGAAATTTGCTAGTTACACGGAGTATCAAAAGTTAGTTGCTTATTTTTTGCAGGACGTTGTAGAACCAACCACATAATTTTTGGGCTATTTGGTTTAAACTAGGCAATTTTATTTCCAGCAGTTTGCCATCGCTAATTAATTTGAAATAAAAAAAATGGAGATTTTATAACGCTGAGACTGCTAAACATCGACTGTATTGTCGTCTGCTGGAGCCATGGAACCAGGCACCTAGAAAATGTAAGTTATGCTCGAAATTATCGTAGAATATACAGTCATTCTGACTTATTCATGCACACTGGAACATTTTATTGTTAGAAAAGACAAACAGTTTAATACATGAAGGGTGCCGAAGAAAGTAACAAAAGCGGCAATGACGGAAAACTGGTTTCTTTCGAGACAAGAGAACCCAGGAATCGCTTCTTGAAAATTAGTATTTTTTTTTCGAGTCTTTGATATTTAACATATTGCATATTTTTTTCTTTAAGTTTTTCCACTCTAAGATTGCAGACTGTAGGATTGACAATTCAAGGATGAGAATCAAACCGGTACAAATCCAAGAAACCCAGCTCCACCACATAAAAATATAGCACAGTTGTATAGCTGTGGGCTATCCTCCAAATAACGGTCCCAAATTATCGAGACCGAAAATATACCCCAATTAAGGCCTCAGCCATATGTAAATTATGGATTTCCGGCGACCTAAATTGCAAACTTTCGGCGACTACTGCCACCGCCGAGAGTATCTCCCGCGCTGCTATGCGCAGCCATGGAGCGGAGCTCAACTAGATGGCTGTGGCTCAAGAGCAGCAGCTACCGCATCTCCTGCAGCTTCCTTCATTTTATTTGCTCAGGAGTCTTAGCCATCTAGTTTAGCCCCACTCTGCTACGCGAAGATACTCTCGGCGGTGGGGGTAGTTGCCAGAAGTCCGCAATTTACAGGTGACTGAGGCACTGTTAGGGTATATTTTCGGCCTCGTTAAGCTGTTAACGTTATTGGTGGAAAATTCTGGTTGTTCATCCACTTCTTACTGCAGTCCTGTTCCAGAAACTTAGTTGCGTGTGCATTCGTTTCACAGACTGCATGATAGACATTTTGTGCAGACTGTTGGTTCCTTGCAGATGCACTCCGACTGTGAGGAAGCTCCAATTAGTCGACTCTTAAACATGCTTTTGGGTAAATGGTGTAGCTGAAACCTCCCCACAATGTGGCCCCATCAAAAGCCACACAAAAAGTGTTAGGGTATATTTTGAGCCTCGATAATTTGGGACCTCTATTCGGAGGACAGCCAGCACAGTCTTGACCACCTAGTGAGAACGCATTCAGACCAGACTGCACATAAGACATTTTTTTACAGAAGAACTTCTGTGAGGAAGATGAAGAAGAAAACGAAACAGAGATGAATAAATGGTATAGCTGAAACCTGCAAAAAGGTGAACAAATCCATCACCAAAGCCACCCAAAAAGTGCAAGAGTTCCCATTACTAGATCTGCACTCTACTATTAATAATATTAGCAGGGCTGTTTTTTCTGGTGGTACACCAGCACTTTTTTTTAACTCTTTGAGTCCCAAGGAGCGTATCATACGTTCATAGGTTCTCGCCTAGAGGCCCAATAAACGCAAGATGCGCCGATTTTACATCTCTTTTGACTACCCCTTGGGCCTCTGATGCTAAACCCCCTGGGACTCGAAGAGTTAAGGCATAATATTTTCAGTTCTACTGTAAAAATCACTTTGTTAAAAGTACCAGCACTTTTAAAAATTTTTAAAGACACTTTATGCTGAGTACATCCTCCTTATTTTCTAAGACATAAGTCTTGACCATTAGTTTACTTTGTTTTTTTTTTTTTTAAATCAGGAAATGGTTTAGACGCTGCAGCCATTTAATTCAGTACAGGAATCTGTGTAACTTCCTAGTGGCTGTCGCTGTCCTGTTTTGGCTGTTGTGGACATACCAAAGACCATTTCTGCATGCAGTTAAATATCTATGGAAGTCAGATTACAGGGAATGTGTTTACCGCCGGAGGAAGTATGAGATAGAGGTAAAGTTTGTTGTTTGAATCTATGTATGTATTTATGTATGTGTGTGTGCATGTGTGAGTTCGTACATACATGCATTGATAAAGTTTTAAGACATATATTTCTTCACTGCTTTCTTCTACATAACCTCCTGGTACTAACAGAGTTAAGCAGCAGTGGATCTACCACACTATCCTCCAATGGGGCCTGAGAAATATCGGGAATTGCAAAATGCAGATAACCATATATTACTGGTCAGACTGCTGGTTGATTGTTTGTTAGGGAATCGTCTTAAGGACTGTGAGTTATAACTCTAAGACACTACAGAGGTCCCAGGTATTTAGCACCTTTTGGATATTTCCTCCAGGGTATGACGGGTTGTTTGTAAATTAACGGAAAAATAGATTGGCTGGATCTGCACTACTTGGTGGTAATCATCTGTGAGTGGTTTGGCAGCGGACCCTTTATGATGTGTATGATCAACCATTCAGAAAACTATGGCAAACTTCTCAACGTAAATTTTCTATTGAAACCACAATACTGGAATTTGTTTCCACAATATTGTGAATGAATACGGAAAAAACATATGTAAATGGAAAGTAACTTTTGTGACCGCACTCTGCATTCATTTTACTATCTTTTTCTTCTTCTTTTCCCTACTCCTATGAGACAAATAGTAGCAAAGCATCATAGAATTATGTTCAGTTTGCTGACACTTGGTTGTAGTGATGATACTTTGGTATTGGGTGGGTAGGAGATCTCTGTATCATATCTGTGCTGATAGATGTGAGTTCTAGGAACATACAACCTAAACCTCAGCATTACACTTAATGGTCAGGTATCTTGTCTTGTCTTGTCTTGTCCACAATTGCCTCACAGCATAGTGGGGAGTCGCAGTTTTCTATCCTGGGCCAGGTGTGTTGCACGTGTTGTTGTTAGTCCGTGTTGCCTCAGGATTTCTGATATATTGTCTATCCATTGTACTCTCGGTCTGCCTCTTGCTCTAGGGCAGTAGTGCTGTTCGTTGGTCAGGTATCAAAGGGCTTATAACAAGTACAAGAATTCAAATATCTAGGAAGCATATTTACAGAGGAGAAAATAAAGGGATTAAGGAGGTGAGGACGCCCGAAAGAAACCCTAAGACGAACATTGATGAGAGGTCAAAGCTACTGGACTGGATTCCATTTGAGATAGTGGTCAGTGCCAGTGGGTTCTTGCAAAATAATTATAAATGTTGATTATAATGTGAATGTAGTTTCTTTACTCTTTCAGAACAAAACAACTCACCATATAAAATAGTGTTATTAAGTTAACTTCTCAGACACAAACATTTTCAGTAAAACCTACTTGTCATGAACTCAGTATACACTCAGTAATATCTTCCTCTTCACATTCACCATCTGTAAACTCAGGTGGAAAGTTCTGGTTGTTCGTCCACTTCTGGACTGCAGTCCTGTCCCAGAACCTGAGTGTTGCGTGTGCATCCCTTTTACAGAGCTGACTTATCTCTGTGCAAACTTTGTTCCTTGCCTCACATGCAGATGCACTCCGGCTTCGAAGGAAGCTTCCAGTTAATTTCCTATTATGACATCCTTTGGGTAGGCAGTGCATCTGTTCTTGTCCCAATAATAGGTCCCTGAACACACACGGGGAACTCAGTAATATGAACAGTTTGTTAGTCTCAGTGGATGTGCATTATTCATAATACATCTGTCAGCTCTCTGTTTGTACAGATTTTAAAATGTGAATGATTGTTTTTTTTTTTTTTTTTTGTCCCTTGGAATTCATGATTAGGAGGTTTTACTGTATTTACCCACTGTGCCCAAATTTTACTGCAACTCCTTCTTTCCCAGAGTCATCATCATCATCAAGTGCCTTGCCAGCTGGCAAAGGCGTTCATACATCTCCGAAGATCTCAGTCTTTGGTGTTCTGGATTAGTTCCACTAAGGCCATTCACCATCTTTTCTCTTGGTCTCCCTCTTTCCAGTCATTACAGTATTTTCCAGTGCTCCTTTTCTCATCACTTGACCAAAGATCTTTGTCTCCTTTTCATTGTTGTATATAATGTTCTACTTTCATTAGCCATTTTCAGCCAATCATTGTTAGTTATTCTGGCAGTCCAAAGTATTCACAACATTATTCTCAAGAACCATATCTTAGTTGCCTCCAAACTTTTCTTAATTTGTTTGCTGACATTCCAGTGTTTGCTGCCATACAACAAAATGGGCTCGATATTATATTTCAGTACTCGTTTTCTGATGTTTAATGCGAGTGATTTATTTCACAAGATAGCACTTTCCCTTCTATTGCTATGTCACATTTTGGAGTTATCTTTTTCTTTCCCAGAGTGCTACTATTATATCTCTCCAAACTCAGACATTTATAGCTTAAAGTAACAACTTCTTAAAATAGAATGATTTGAAGTTAAAAAATTAAAGGTTAAAGTCGAGAGAATTGACTTCATTGCACTGGGTTTTATCCCATTTGACTCAGTCTCTCTTTGAAGAATGGCTAGCCAGCTGCGGAAAGCATTGCACAAAGCACGAACTCTGAAGCTCTGGCGATGATCCCCAGGGATCTCCTAAAAAAATTGCACTTGTGAACTGAATGATGGAGCCATAAAACAAACCCATGACCTTCAGAGCGCGAGACAATCGGCTTGACCACTTCGCCACTGAAACCCCCCAAATTAACATTTGTTTGGTACAAGGTACTCAAAATCCGAAAGGGTACAATTTTTTCAACAGCATCCTAATCAGTGTTAACTTTGGTTGTTCTCTTCCCAGGTGGAAACATCCCCATTGTATGTCACAGTAGAGGACCATGGCAGAGTTGGAAACTGGATGTTCGCCTATGCTTCGTTGCTAGGAATTGCCAAAGCTAATGGGTATATCCCATACTTCCCTTCCTCTCATCCGCTGACCAGTATCTTTTCCTTAAGTAAAATCCAGTCTGGCAATGCAGAATGCCTGCAAACTGTGTTTGATGATCGGCCTTGTTCGTACAACTCTGAATTTATGAATCTTCCTCCGGGAAATATTTCTATTAGAGGGTATATTCAGTCTTGGAAATACTTTCGACTTATGGAAAAAGAAATCAGAAAAGAATTTACGCTGAATAAATTTGTTAGGACGAGGGCTACGCTTGATTTTACAAGCTATGTTGGTAAATTTGTTCGAGATGGGCGGCCTGTTGTTGGTGTTCATGTGAGGCGAGGAGATGTATTAAAGCCAGAAGCAAGAAAATTAGGTTTCTGTCATGCTCCAAAGTCATACTTAGACAATGCTATGAAATATATGCTACGAAAATACCCGAATGCCGTATTCTTAGTTACATCAGATGATATTGAATGGTGTATAGAAAATGTTATACCACCAAAATTGAGTGACATCTTTGATAGCAAAGAATCTTTACACAAATTCACAAACAGTTCCAAAATTAAAAAATTTCAAGATAAAGTGCCAGTAGTTTTTTCAAAAGGACGAGATCCTTGGTCAGATTTTTCTGTTCTGTCTTTGTGTAACCATTCCATAATTACTGTAGGGACATTTGGCTGGTGGTCTGCCTGGCTGGCAAATGGCCATGTTGTATACTATAAGAATGTTCCGTTGCCAGGTACTAAATTGGATTATGAGCTGACCAAAGAGGATTACTTTCCTGCACACTGGGTGGCCTTGTAAGCCAATTCTGCTCCTGTCAGTATTTGCTTGCACATTTCACATTGTAAAACTTTGGTATCTTTCTTGGCTTTGGCATTCACCATTCTAAAGAAAGAACAATGTACCAGGAAATAATTTTATAGAACATCAGAAAATCAAATGATTTGGTCATCTGGTCAAAAAGGGAACAAAACAGTTATCAGCTAAAGCATACTACATGAGAACAACAGGCTACAAGGCAAGAGGCTGACCAAGAAACAGATGGTGGAGGCAGTAAAAGAGAGACAACAGAAAAACAGTAGGACATTCACACAAGCTTTGTAACTTGCAAGAGATAGAAAACTACATCTAACTTCTGTCTTTGGTACATTATGGCATAAACAGTATTTGAGGTTTGAGCTTTGATCAACGGATCAACATCATGGCACACGGGTAGTAACCCATAGGTGCTCCGTTCTTCTTCTAACTCAAGTCTGAGTCCGAAGAAACTCAGCACAGTGCCCAGGCTCTGTAGCACTGGTGAGGATTCTGAAATACTTTGGGTAATTTTTTACTCCAAATTTTGTCCTGGCAGCGCTGTTACATGCACAAAAATGCACACGGGCGTCCGATCTCACTACCCAGAGACCAGGGGGGATTACTAGAAGTCCAGACATAAAGCCCAAGCATAAACAGTAGAACAGAGCAAGAAGATGAAAAAAAAAAAACCATTTCTGAAAATAACTGACGTCAGATATAGTTTCATAATAACGTTATTATACCTCTTCATAGGGCAAAATATTATCTGCCAGGGAATTTCTGGATATTCATTGAGGTCACGAAACATTGGGGTGAAACACAATGTAGCCAGATCACATCACATTAGGTCTGCAACTGCAGATTCCTGAAGTCATGATCCATCATCATTTTCCTGTTGTGCCGCTGTCTGTCACATAGGGCTCGTCTATTCCTTCATTTTGTTCTGTCCTGTACAGCCATTTCATAATCTGCCCCAATATGGGATGCCATTTTTTTGTTTTATTAAGGCCCCACTGCAGCTGGCATCGGGGGTCCTAAATATAATCTACGGGTTGAACAGGGTTTCTGGGACCTGCGCCCGGGTGATTCTCATCCAAATGGTGCACTTTTAGTCACCGGCTGTTTGTCGCTCGCTGTGTGGTCCTGGTGGGGTTGAGTGTTACTAACTCTCAGAGTGAATATTTGATCTAGCAGCTGCTTCCTGGTCAGAAACCTGCTAGTTCCTCTAACAGGATAGCGCCACTAACCATTTAATTCTATTGAGAATCATGTTACAGAAAGTCTTGGACATTACTGATAACAGAGTAATTCTTCTACCAAGCACGGCTTGCTACTCAAAAGTTCACAAACGTATGCATTCTTAGTGACTCGATGAATATGCTTAAAAAAATCCAAGCTGGATTTATCAGGCAAGAATGGATTGCAACACTTAGCACTTTACGAATAGCTGCCTTAATCTTCATCTTTGTGCCAGGTCATGCGGTGTTCAAGGGAACGAGAGTGCAGACTATCTTGCTGACACTGCGGTTATGTCTGTTCCAGTACTGGACAGAAGTGTTGTTATCAATGCCATGCGCTGCACTTACCGTACCGAGGAGCACGCCAAAGGACATGACTCCATATCCCTGTCTAGACTGATGGACATGGGGGTGCAGCCTGGAGCTGCAAGAAATGAACATTTCACTAAGAGGACAAGACGTTTCATTAACCAACGCAGAACAGGCATCATCATTCGTTTTACACTTGTGGAGCTTTTTGAGGAGGAGATCGGAGCACCTATGGATCTGTCCGGAGTGCTGTGATGATAATCCTTTCTAATCAATAATCACTAATCAGAGTAATTCTTCTCCAGTTGTTACAGTCAGTAAGATCTCTTCTCTTTGGAACTGTAACAATTATTTGTGTTCCCTTACTGACGTTAGATTTTTTCATGTGCCTGTATTCTTTTGAACAGATCTCTCACCCATTTTATCGTTACATCGTCTCTTTTTCAGGTGGCATGCCCTTGAGTGCATGAACCCCCCACCCCCTCCCCACTTTCCTAACATAATAAAATTGAGATTAAAAAGCGGAGTGAAAAAAAAAAACATCCGAAGTGCTGTTCATAAAAACTTGGAGAAAAACATGCACATAATACACAGTGTCGAATAACAAACGAAACAATCACCAACAGATTTTAATTTAGTTTTCATATGTCAGTGTGATGGTTGACACAGGTTTATCTTGATGAAATCTGCTATTTTTGGTCAGTGTTGGACAAGGTACAACGCAAATCACTCTCTACAACAAGCCGGTAGCATTGTTTTGTTTTCGTGATTGTGAAAGCTAAAAATCCTGATTATTACAGGTATAAATGAACTCATTTTCAAAATTGTTAGATGCTGCTCTTGAAACTTCTTGACGCCCCCTCTCAGGCAGATTCACTCCGACTTAGAACATACTATATGCTTGTTTGGGAGGCACTGGGTTTATTCTTTTTTTTTCCCTACAGTGAGGTCTCGCAACCCAGACGGGGAGTTCAGTCTAAATACGTAGTCTGTTTCTATAATTTAAGAAGGTTGATTAAGTTTTCAGGATTCTCTTCACGATGAGAAGTTTTCCAAAGGGTTCTAATCACTGACTTGACCTGAGTTTTATTTTCCTCATGAGTGCGTCCTTCATCTGAGTGTTGTATTGCTCCCAATTTTTGCTAAGTAGTCTAATCTTTCATTTCCTGTAATTTTGCAGTGGCTAGGGATCCACTGGAGAACAGTGGCTTAGTTGGCTGGTCCACGTGATTCAGCAGAGATCTGAACTTGTTGAACTGTAGTTGAAAATATGCCAACTGCTCTTTTAAGAATGAATGCAGAAGAAGAAGAAGAAGAAGAAAAAGACAGAAGAAGAAAAATAAGAAGGAAAAAAAAAATAAGAAGAAAAAAAAATAAGGAGAAGATGAAGAAGGAAGAAAATAGATGAAAAAGTAGATTAGAAGAAATAAGAAGAAGAAAAAAGAAGAAGAAGAGAATCTTCTTAACAAGTACTTAATACTGAAGACAATCACCTTTTTCTGAATATTCAGAGATCTTTGTGGCAAAGAGCTTAAACCAGGGATGGGTAACCTGTTTTTGTGTGTCTGCAGGCCAAATTTGAAAATTACCAACCAGGCACACTCAACCACGGAAGCCCTTTCTTTATATGTATTACTAAATGTGTCTGCTCAGAGAAAAAGGAAGGTCGTCACCTGATATTTTACTATGTTGTCTCCTAATGTTTGAGTTTGTCAGCAACATTGGTCCCACTAGCAGAATCCAAGATTTAGTGACCTCAGATATTAGTTATCACTGTTTAGGTTATCACTTTTTTTTTTTAATGTTGATGTTTTTATTTTCCCTTTCTACATACAATCTTGTTTTTTCATGTTGTGCTTGTTTGTGAAGTCAATGACAATATTATAAATATTTTTACACCAGCCTCATAGGCCAGTAAACAAATTGCTCGGCGGGCCGGTTTTCCCCCACGGGCTACAAATTTTGTCCAACCCTGGTTAAACCACTTGGCTCACACTCTAAAAGGTCATGGGTTCCTTTCATAGACTGCATCTTTCGGTTTATGCCTGTAACTTTTACTGAGCCATTCTACTATGTTGTACATGTAGTTGGTAACTATACATTGCTTTAATAATTTTATTTAAAACATTTTTTTTTACAATAAAGACAATATTAAAAGATCCATTATGTTGCTTTGAATTTACTGACTGTGTACAATGTTTTATATTGTTTTTATATATCTTCTTTTTCTTCTTCTTTAGTCATGCGGTGCCTATCAGCGTCAGGTTTTGAAGAGGCGTCAGGCAAGAGCCTTTGTATGAGCTACATAGGTGCTGATGTTTATGGCATGTTGCTTTATTTACAGCTATCTTCTTCTTCTTCGTTCACCGGCTGTGAATTCCGGTGGAAGGTCCCGGTTAATCGTCCGCTTGGACTTTTGGCTTTTACCTGGACCTGAGTTTTGCGTGTACAACCGTTTTGTTGTTCCCTGCCTCATGGGCAGCTGTACTCTGACTTCGAGGGAAATTTACAGCTATCAAAGAATAGCCCGTTTTGGGGGCATTAGCACAGTCAATAGGAGACTTGCTTTCAAATCCAGTTGCAACTCGCTGCAGCCCATTGCTGTGTTCAAACCCGGGCGGTTCCTGGGGTTCACCTAGCCTCTAGGAAATGGGTACCAGAGTTAACACTCTGGGGTAAATGGAGGAACATTGCTGTAGCTAAGGAGATTTGTGTGGACTGCGACACAGGCGGACAGTTTCTTATCAGCTGTCCGTACTGGTGGCAGAGCACTTATGGTTTACAACCGTTTGCAATGACGCTAGTTCACATCTCCCGACTTTACCTTTACCTTTTAAAGAATAGCATATGCCTAAATATACAATCAAACATTTTTTTAAAAAATCCCTGTCACTTAGGGTTAGAAAATAATTTGTGCATTACAGACAACTAGTTTTAATACATGATAATTAGTTAACAAGCAAAAAATGCCCAGAGGCCTCAGAAATATAGTTGTGCAGAAGAATCCTTTCGGCTCCTTGGACAGTAAAACTGAGTAATATAAATATTTTGAAAGAGTTTAAGGCACCAAGAAAGTTCCAGAAAGAGGCAGCCATAATTTTTGGGTCACTTTATGAGAAGACTGGGATAATTTGTAGTGATCCATTCACATGTGTAAGTGTTGGCAGGTAACGAATACACGGAAAATGGAAACAAATAATATTTTTCTTCTCCTCGCTTCACTGCTGAGAGTATGTGCGTACATCTGGTATTGTAGTACTAGTAACTAATAGCTTTCATGCGTTACAATTTCTGCATGAGTTGTACAGGCATGCAGCGAGTATTTTGTTTGCAAAGATAATACAAGCTTCAAGTGCTTGGCAAGACATAAACTGAGTGGCATTTTTGACATAAATAGTAAACAGTAAGGTCCAGTTCACGTTTCCCAGCCCATCTACACACTGGCTGACCTTTCATTCATACTTTCTCAGACTCTTCTACATTGAAGGGTATCACGTTGTCTTGCCTCCAATTACATCAGCGCCGATGTTGCGTGTTCTATACTACACAACGACACCGCTTTTAATGACCCCAGAACATCTAGAACTGGCTCTAACCCAAACCCCCCACCAACAGCCTGAGCCTAGGTAACAGGAGAGACTCTTTTAGAAATAAGTAGTACAACATGACACCCCTCTGACCTAGATCAGACTGAGAAAGTGTAGATGGGCCGGGAAACGTGAACAGGTCCAACAGTAATAATAATTAATTAAATAATGCATTTTTTTTTTCAATTATAAAGTGTTAAGTGGCAACTGCAGCTGTCAATTCACTGTTCAGTTGTTGAATAATGATGGCGGTCATCGCGAAGTTAAGGCCCTTATGCTGTGTAGTTTGAAAAAAGGCAGTTTTCTGAAGGTTCAATATTTTGTCAACATTTGAAATGATACATGTTGTTGGAGATAAACATCTGTTGGACAGATACAAAGAGTAATGATAGTGCTAAAAGAAATTAAATCATAAAGAGAACCGATTACCCACTTCAGAAGGAGACAATCTACATTCTCTGGTCATGTCATAAGAAAGATAAAAAATTAGTACATTGTGACGGTGAGAAAGTTAGAGGGAAAGAGAAGCAGAGGAAGACTGAGCGACATGAGGCTGGACAGTTTGAGATCATGGCATGGAAGATCGTCTGTGTCAGAACTGATTAAAAGTACCCGAGATAAAAGGTGATAATACATGACTATCAACACCACAAGATATGGAAGATCATTTTGTGCCAGAACTGATTGAAAATACTTCAGACAGAAAGTTGTGGATAGACATGTTTACCAACGTGGAAAGTTCTGGTTGTTTATCCACTTCTAGACTTTATTCTCATTCCAGGACTTGAGTTTTATGTGCACATCCGTTTAACAGATTTGTTTCTTATTCGTAAGAATGTTGGTTTCCTGCCTCGGGCAGATGCACTCCGACTTCGAAGGTTAACATGACTGATGTCGAACACAGAAGAAGGGGGAGCCTGGATCCCTCCAAATGGGGCCCCAGAACACACACAGAGATGGTGATCACGATATCGCTAGCTTTGTTTATCAATATCTAGTGCTGTGGCTAAGTAGTTATACTGTTTGCCCCTGGCTCTGAAAGTCTATGTACATTTCAGGGATCTTGTTCGGTTCACAAGTGCAATTTGTATGACGATTTCCAAAAGGATCGTCCCTTGAGCTGCCTGATGCACCATGTGTGCTCTTGGCAGGCGGCTAGTAATTCTTTACAGATAAACCGAATCACATAGAGACTGAAAAGCCTGGTCAAATGAAGTATATCTTCTCGTCCTTTAAAAGTTTTAAAACATTTAGCAGAAGAGAAGAGTGAAAATAGTGACTTCACAGCGCTGAGAGAGGGGAAGGGAAGGGGGTGCTTGCTCATAAACATCTCATCATTACCACAATTACGACCATCTGGAGAATTTATATGGTAATGCTCCAGTGGGCCGTGACCACAACGTAGCAGGTCCTTTGCAGAACGCCGCTTTCATTACGGTTTGCCTGAACGAAACGCGCTCTTTCGCCAGCTCTCCTGCTTCGTATTCTTCTAGAGAATGCGGTGTTCTGTCGATTCTATCCAGGGTTTTCATTACATCTCCTCCAGCACGTGATAAGTAGAGAATTCCCTGGGACAGTCATACAGTCTAGGGGTGTTATGACCTGCCGTCGGTGGGCGTGTACACGATACCCTGCAACTATTTGTGGCCGTATATGTACAGCGTGCGGACAAGTGTCTGGGCTTCGTTCAACGTTGTCAGCACAATTGTCTCCCAGACGAAATTTAACAACTTTTTTTTCTTTCTTTTCAATGACTGTTCAAGCGTTAGGGTTATATGCAGGAATACTGAAAGGTCAAGGGAAATCATGGCGAAGACAGGTCACAAAGGACAGCGCTTCCACACAGGGCAGATCAGGGCGACAAAACAAACCAGAGAGAGACAGAGACAGAAAGAATGTGGTGGGACGAATGCGATACACACCCAATCAGAATGGTATTCAGTATTCAGTTTTTATAAGGAGTAGAAAATTATAGGGAAGAGAAAAAGTTGGTAAGAAACAACAATTAGTTTATGATTGTTAGCTTTACAAAATCGATCACAATAAACAAAGTCTCTTGTGTGGCGGAGTTAGGAAACTGCCATCAAGGGCAGATAACTCTACAGTACGAACAAGTGTCTGGCTATCATCCGATGTCGTGTCTGTTTCTTCTTCACTGTTAAATTGGTATAATTTAGGTTTCTACTGTTACTTGCCACACCCTGTCAGTACTCAAATCATTATGCAGCAGGTTAACTCAAGCGATCCCAAAAGATCAAAATATACCAGGTATTTTTTATAGTAAATGAAAATGAAATATTATTATACTTATTAAATTTAAATTACTTTTTGTTTTTAAAATAAATTAATTAATAAAATTAACGTTTGATTGAGTGTTTGAACAGTATAGTATAGAACGAAGAACGTAGAAGTAGAACTAGAACACTGATAATTCAATAATTGCATTAAGGAGTTTAATGCGGCATGACCTTGCAACAAGTTACAAGTAGTTAGTAGGTACTAAGTACTAACAATGAACAAAGCTTAGCTACTAAGTTAGCTTGCTAGCTTATTACAATATTTGAATATTATTACCCGAAAGCAGTGCAGAAGTAAGTATCTCATTCTTACCTTACACTGTTAGTTTTAGCATTTAAGGTTTTTTACTTTATAATAAAGTTTATTAGAGCTTTTAAGTTAGGAAGATGAAATGATTATTGATTGATTGTTTTGAAATTTCATTTACAACATTACAAAGACAATTGTGTAATTAAGTACTAAATACTAGTAAGTTTAAAAAAAAAGTAAAAGACCCTTTTCTACGCCTTTTCATATACTGATATAGGGCTAGACCTATATTTTATAGACCAACCAGCACAAGATGGGTGATGTCAGCATCACACTGGCCTTTACTTCCTGGGACTGCACCCAGTACTTACTACTCAAGGTTGGGTCAACATGGGAGCCAAGGTCATTTTTGAAAAAAGTCCAACTCCACCAGGGAGCAAACCCACGACCTTTTTTGATCAGCGGCGAGAGTCTAGCTGCTCCGCTATGGCGACTCCCTAAATACTAATAGTAATCTTCACCAATCAACCCTCATTCAGGGTTGCAGTTTGGGATTATGGTGCTCTTTGAGTTTTTTGAGTATATTTTTGCTGTTTTATTATATATCATATAATCTTAATCATCTCCTTCAGACATTTGTGCAGTTTGTATCATTTGAAAGATTGTCCTGTTCACACCTTTTATTTTGTACTGTGGACCACGGCTGCTGAACAATTGATGTCATTTGACAAAGTGGCAGCACAGACAAAAAATATTGGGCTCTCCTCCAAACTTCTACCCCCGCATTATGGCCGCCTGAAATATCTTTACAGGGCTCAGTCATATTAAAAATATGCGAACTTCCGGTGACGAACAAATCGCGGCAAAACTAGAATCGGCTCCATATAGCGAAATAAATGCTCTAACAGGGTCTCAGCGATATGTAAGGATATTTGTTTGTAATGTAATGCGGGGGTAGAAGTTCGGAGGATAGCCAAATATTGTTTTTATTATGTTTTAATATTGCCTTCCGCACCCTCCATCACCATTTCCAAGCCACTGTGATGTTTGATGTGGCCAAAAAACTTCAACTTTTGGTATAGGATGCTGTTTAGGAGCCAGTTCTCCTTGATATTTAACTCATGCAAAATTTTGATGTTTTTCCTCTTTTTGATCCATGGTATTCTGATAATTTTTCCGTAAAATTTCAATTCAAAAGCTCCAATCTTTTTCTTCGGCAATTTAGTGAGGGTCCAAGACTCACAACTGTAAGTTGACACAGGAAAAATGCACGATCACAAGATTTTTACTTCAACTGATTTACAGTTGAAACAAATAAAACTGCCATGGAGAAGGAAATATATGTTAATGAGGAAAGATTGGAAGTGGTGGAAAATTTCGAATATCTTGGGTCACTGGTTACCAACAATGGTGACACAATGAAAGAAATTAAACGGCGACTATCAATTGCTCTTCAAAGACTAAAACAACTGAATAAATTATGGAATTGTACAGATAGAACTACAAAGGTCAGATTTTTAAGAGCATGCATCTTTCCCATTGCAACATACGCCTGTGAGACCTGGACACTTACTAAACAAGCGGAACAACGCATAAATGCATTTGAATATAAATGTTACAGACAGGTTCTAAGAATATCTTGGGTAAAGAAAAGAACAAATGCATCCATACTTCAAGAGCTGAATGTTGAAGAGGGTTGGCTAGTAAAGACAATAAAACAAAGAAAATTGAAATATTTTGGTCAGTTGAAGCGTCATGGAAGTCTAGAGAGAACAATAATGGAGGGGTATATGCCTGGGAAGAGAGGAAGAGGAAGGCCAAGGAGAAGATGGGTGCAGGATGTGGCAGATGATCTCCAGATGGGTGTATCAGACGCAGGACATCTTGCTCAGGATAGGAAGGTTTTCCGGAGGGTTGTTATGGCAGCGAGGTTCCGCGAGGGACATGCTACTGAATGAATGAATGAATGATTTACAGGTGCTTTGCCATAGGTTCTTCATGGCATTTAATCTCTGCATTGCTAAAGCAAGTCTTCTTCTGACTTCTTTCGAGCAATCTCCACTGTTGCTCACTCAAGATTGTAACATCAGATACTTTATTCTTGGGCTTGAGACAGTTAACATTATTAGAATACCGTGGACTGAGAAGAGGAAAGACACCGAGATCCTGAATGATCTGAGCATCAAGGAAAATTAGCATGTAAGCGGTATTCTGTTCCACAAGCTGAAGTATATTGGTCGTGTTAAACATTAGGGTGACCTGGAAAGAACGATGGTTGAGGATACATTTTCGGGAAAACAAAGCAGAGGCAGACTTCCGCAAATGTGAATACAAGACATTGAATATACATTTGTCATGAAAGCTCATAGGGCTGGGGAATTGGCTAGAGAAAGAGACTTTTGGTCATGCTGTGACGAGGGCAATGTTCTGTAAATGACCTGCTGACTGCGATGATCATAACATGTGCTTGTGCTTAAGACAGTTAACATATTCATTGTAGGTACAAACCCCCACCTTCTGGAGGACCTTCAGATGATCCAACTCCTGACTACATGAACCTCCTTGGAATGATCTTCAGCATGTGTGGCCTCATGATGAAAGTGAGTACTCAAGTGTGATTTATTGTCATGGTTGTTGGTGTTTTTTTTAATTTTTTTTAATTTTTATTTGAATGTGGGTCATTCAGAAAGTAATGCCCAACTTTGTTTTTCTTAGTGAATAATGAGGATAGAAATATAATTTTGCACACATTGAACTGGAAATTCAGAATTGCTTTACAGAATGGCAACTCATTCCACTGAAAAGAGCAGCTGCACTAACCTGTTAAAAAATAGGGCAAAGGCAGTGTGGGATACAGATAGAAAATAATAGTCAAAACAATTATAGTTGTAAGAAAAAGTGTGGGAAACATTTGTATGCTGTGGATGAAAGTTATGCATTTGAGAGGAGCATTGCTGCCTGCTAGGTTCAGAGAGTTAAAGCTTCAAAAAGTAGAGAGGTGGACCTGAGAATGGTATTCATGCTGTAAATAAACGTTTTTGTGAACAGGACAAAACCTTATTCAGGCAAGTCATAATACATGTTGTGTTTCACATTGGCCTAAGGTCATTGAAGTGGATGGAAAGTATAAAGAAAATTAGGATGTGTCAAGGACATGATGAGCTATGTTATCATAACTAATTTTACAGAATCTGTATACATCAGAATGTGTAAAGAACATAATGAGCTATGTTATCATAATTTTACAGAATCTGTTTACATCAGAATGTGTAAAGAACATAATGAGCTATGTTATCATAATTTTACAGATTCTGTATACATCATAATGTGTAAAGAACATAATGAGCTATCTTATCATAATTTTACAGAATCTGTATACATCATAATGTATAAAGAACATAATGAGTTATGTTATCAGAATTTTACAGAATCTGTATACATCAGAATTATTCCTAAATGTGTAATAGAAGTCAATGGTGTTATTTTAGGACAAGTACAGAGATTTAAGTATTTGGGCACATGGATAACATCAGATGGAAGATGCATAACTGAAATAAGAAACAGATTTGGTCAGGCAAAAACTGCATTTTATAAAATGAAAAACATCTTGTGCAATATATCCTTGTCATTGAGAGTTAGAAAAAGAATTCTTGCTTGCTACATACATCCAGTTTTAACATATTGATGTGAATCCTGGACAATCGGTAGGCAGGCCAAACAATTTTTAGAGTCCTCAGAGATGTGGTTTTACAGAAGAATGCTTAGAATACCTTGGACAGCCAAAAAGAGCAACCAAGAGATTTTGAAAGAGGCGGGAGCCCGAAGACAACTTATCACAGACATCAGAAGGAGACAGTCATCATTTTTCGGCCATGTTATGAGAAGAGGAAAAATAGAACATGTTGTGACCACTGGAAAGATCTGTGGAAAAAGGGATAGAGGAAGACAACGAGAGAAGATGCTTGACAGTCGTGTTGCATGGCATGGAGGTGTGTCGGCACCCGAACTGATACATGCTGCAGGAGATCGTAGATTATGGAGAGGCATGATCGCCCACGCGAGTCGGCAAGGCACCTGATGATGATGATGATGATACATCAGAATGTTTAAAGAACATAATGAGTTATGTTATCATAATTTTACAGAATCCGTTTACATCAGAATGTTTAAAGGACATAATGATCTATGTTATCATAATTTTACAGAATCTGTATACATCATAATGTGTAAAGAACATAATGAGTTATGTTATCATAATTTTACAGAGTCTGTTTACTTTAGAATGTGTAAAGAACATAATGAGCTGTTATAATTTTACAGAATCTGTATACATCAGAATGTGTAAAGAACAAAATGATCTATGTTATCATAATTTTACAGAATCCGTTTACATCAGAATGTTTAAAGGACATAATGATCTATGTTATCATAATTTTACAGAATCTGTTTACAAGAGAGAGAAAAGTGTGGGGCATTACTGTCTTGCCTCTTGTATTATTAGTTTTCATCTTTGAGGTAACCGGGTAATCACAGTTCCAAGTTTATAATAAGCAGTCAATCCACAGTTGCTCTGTTCCTGTGCTAACAAAAACCACACAGACTGCACTCTCAGCACATCCAATAGAATATACATGCATTGAATACATAAGACAGCCATTAGAAGTGCCAACACAAACAGTCTGACACTAGAAATGCAGTTCATCATCGGGGAAGTAATAGTCAGAACAGATCGGTAGTTGCACGTGCGATTGTTCACATAAGGAATCACCAGTTCTGTGACAGCAGGCCACTCGCCATTTTCTGAATTTGCAGTTCGCAACACACACCACACTCAAAAAAGCATTCTAGATAAAATATGCAGCTCGCATTGTCGTTCCATGGACACAACTCAGTGGCTGGGCGATAAAACTACATTGTTTCAATCTACAAATGAAGGAAAATGCAACTGCTACCTAGTGCCAGAAACAAAAACTTGCCATTGCTAAAAACAGTAAACCTGGCATTCCTCCATGTTGACAGGAAGTCCAGTTTTCATCTTTATTTAATAAAAGTATTTCTCATCTGTTGTTTTTACTGACATATGTTTTCTCTTGTTTTTACTGTTATATATATATATATATTATCTTTAGTTTGTACTGTTATGTATTTTCTGCCATGTACCTAGAAAACTTCTAAATGTTTATCACGTTTCTTTTGTTTTACAGCTGAAGTGGTGTGCCTGGGTAGCAGTCTACTGCTCATTCATCAGTTTTGCAAACTCGAGGACTTCAGATGATACAAAACAGATGCTCAGTAGTTTTATGTAAGAATATTGTTAGTGGATGGGAGGTTTGAACAACGGATCAACATTATGGCACACGAGTAGTAACCCATAAGTGCTCGGTTCTTCTTCTAACTCAAGTCTGAGTCTGAAGAAGCTCAGCACAGTGCACAGGCTCTGTAGCACCGACAAGGATCCTGAAATACTTTGGGTAGATTTTAAACTCTAAATTTTGCCCGGCAGTGCTGTTGGGCTACTCTTTTATTATTTCAAACTGCCAGGGGATTTCTACATGTGCAGCAATGCACAGAAGCATCTGATCTCACTACCCAGAGACCAGGGGGAATTACTAGAAGCAAGTCCACATGAAAAAAATCCAGCCCTTACCGGGGATTGAACCAAGAACCTCCAGTTCTCGAGGCGGACTCGATGCCTCAAGACCATGCAGCCCCCCCCCCTCCCTATATTGTTAGTGGATGATAATTGTATATTTTTGTTTCAAATGGTGCTTCTTGAGTGGGTTCCAGGGCAAGATTTGGGTGAAAGAATAGACCCATTGCTCCTTTGCAAGAATGTTGTAAAAGTGACAAATAATAATTTACTAAAATCGGATGTGCTTGGCTGAAAGGCACAGATATCACAGCCCAGCTGTAAACCACGCCACAGAATGCCAACTGCTGTTTTAAAGATGAACATAGAAGAAGTTTTAAAGGGTTTCCATGATGATCATCATAGAATTATTTAGGGAGTCTCAAAGGCAAAATGGTCAGGCTGTTTGCATAATGCTGTGGAGGTCATGGGTTCATTTCAATTCAGTTCTTGCGTATGATTTTTACTGAGATCCTTGAGAATTGTCACATGGGTTACGGAGTTCATGCTTTGTGCGATGCTCTTAGCATGCAACTAGCCATTCTGTGGGAGAGACTGAGCCTTTTTTTTTTTTAAACTCGGTGCAAGAAGTTAAACCTCTCGACTTTAACTTTATAACTTTACCTATCAACTTTAACTTTATAAGATTATGTCCCTTGCAAGGTGGCTGCCCAACAGCTCAGTCCTTGGGAGTTCCACATTTTGTTGGTGATATTGTCCCATGTCATCAAAGCCTTAGACCATCGAACATCTTTGCTGTTGCTCTCCCTTTGTTTCTTCAGCAGCTGATCTGCAGCTGCAAAATCCTTAAACACTTCTATAAGTAATGTGGCTTAGGTGTTGCATACGAGCTTTGTAATGCCGGGGTGCCAGGTTCGATCCCAGCTGCTGTTGATTTGTCTTGTGTTGGTTTCAACTGTGCTATAGAGAGTTGACCGTTCAAAAAAGCAGTGGCAAACCACTGAATGTCAAATTTGCTTAGAAAAACCACAATGGCCAAAAAAAATGCTGGTTGGTTCTGTAAAGGATACACAATTAACTTTAATTATAAAAAAATATTTGATTGAATCCTTTTTAACAAATGTTTATTGCCTTTTGATGCTACATTTACTACATAAACTTAAACATAAAAATTTGTTACAGAAATGAAACTAGTTCTTTACCTCAAAATATGACTTTAAGTCTATGAAGCACAAATTTATTTCCAAGTGCCCATGTTTGTTTCTGAAATTTTAGGATTCTACATACATGTGTTTTTTCTTTCAAGATGGCAGCTTTTGGCAGGGTGCCATGATTTGTTTTCAAAAAGTGTAAACATATTTAACATGTGTTGAAAAATTCAACCATTTTACAATATTCATCTAACATTGCTAATTTCTGTTATTTACACTCCCCCACCCACCTCCCCCCAAAAAATAATTAATAAATGCGGCTCTAGGACCCACACAGGGATCATAATTGGATAATGATGATTTACATTAGTGTTAAATGGGGACAGAAAAACAAAATATTTAACTTGATGCTGAGACCAGACTTCCATACTGTTTCATCTGTTTAGCCATCTTCTTAGTGTATCATTCTTTGTTGTATTCTTCGCTGTCAGTTTCTTTCCTAATTGCTTTCTCTTATACAATTTAAAAAACTGCATAGTTGTCCAATAGCACATTTTTTATAAATTATGAGAAAGTCCCTACACCTAAAAACTATCAATAAACCAGATGAAAAAGAATTTTCTATTGATTGGTTGAAGCCTAAGTTATTCTTATATGCAATTTAAGCAGTTTTACTCATCAGATTAGAAAGATTTTGAGTGACAAAATTATGTTCCTTTCAGTAGCTATCCTTTTTCGTTTTAGTAAAATATAAGAAATAAACATCTTGATTAATTTTGTTTATTTCATTCTCTCAGGTTGTCGATATCTGCAGTTGTGATGTCTTACTTGCAGAACCCCCAACCCATGCAGCCTCCATGGTGATGATTCACACCCATTCTAGGGTGGTGTGTTTATGTGAGACTATTAATTTTATTCATGTCTTTGATAATAAAAATTGTGTTTTCTCTAAAGTGCATCCATAATTTTTATTTATTTATTTAATTATGAAATAAAACAACCAAAGAGTTTATTAAACATTCAGTGGTAATAGATTCAGTGGTGCAATTATCTGGGGAATGTCCACACTGTGTCAGAGTTGGCTAGCTCCACCTTAAAAGGGTGAAAAGTGAAAGTTAGTAGCCTGCTAATGACCAATAGGACACCAAAGCCAACCTCACTTGCAAGCGCTGCACACCAACAAACAGAGGCTGCACACCAACAAACAGAGGCTGCACACCAACAAACAGAGGCTGCACACCAACAAACAGAGGCTGCACACCAACAAACAGAGGCTGCACACCAACAAACAGAGGCTGCACACCAACAAACAGAGGCTGCACACCAACAAACAGAGGCTGCACACCAACAAACAGAGGCTGCACACCAACAAACAGAGGCTGCACACCAACAAACTGAGGCTGCACACCAACAAACTGAGGCTGCACACCAACAAACTGAGGCTGCCAGGTCTCATCTTAACCGGGCTGTGGCTCACCAGGTAATATAGGCTCCATCTGGCTAAATACTCCTTAAACTGCAATGGGCCACACATCGGCGACCGGGCCTCCCATTGGCTGGCCGGTAGATGACTTCATAGCTGGTCAGGGCAGTATTTGGGTCTGTCTCCTTTGATTACATCATCACTACGAGAGTCCTTTTCATGGCTGTTTGGTGGCAAGCAGTGCTAAGCCATTTCAAATGGCACAAAAAACCTTGTCACAATTATAAGTAAGCTACCAGGGGATATGGTCGATGCTCAACATTCAAGAAGAAGGCGATACAGATATACAGTTACTGGTGCCATCAGATTTTGAACTCTTCGCTTGCTGCTGAAGGTGGGAATGGAGCGATTATGGGAATACCCTAGTGCTGTGATGTCGGTTCTTATTTTCAACTTTAAAAAAATGGGCTTACAAATCACGAGCAGCGCAGTGAGAAGCAACTTTTGCAAAAGACTAAATTTCGTGAATAAACTGATTTAATAGTAGGCCAGGATATTGTGTTGCTCGCTGATTCAGACGAACTACTTTTTAAATCTATAAATCTGCAGTTGAAAGTAAAGTAAATGACCCTTTTCTAGGCGTATTGGGCAAGTCTAAGGCTTTACTAGTTAGCACTCGGTGGGTGATGTGGTCGGTCAACATCACACAGGCCGCCGTTACTTCCAAATGGTGTGAGGAGACAGATTTAACAGTGTGCTCACTAGTTTCAATGCATTATGTTGCTCGTTGGAAAACTCCACTGGAAAAGACATGTTCAGTACATTTGTAAAGGTTGGGCAGTTGAGAGAAGTGATGCATAAAACATTCATGCAGTTTGGCACCAGCCTCTTATATAAATATTATGTAGCAAAATGATGACACAATCTTGATAGCAACAAGTCAGAAAAAACTACGGGAAATTATAGACATTGTGGTGGAAGAACGGGCCTCCATTTGAATAATGGAAAGACAGAAGTAATGGTGGTATCAAAGAAACAAATTATTCCTAAATGTGTAAAAAACAAAGTCTATGGTGTTATTTTGGGACAAGTACAGAAATGTAAGTATCTGGGCACATAGATAACATCAGATGGAAGATGCATAACTGAGATAAGAAACAAAATAGGACAGGCAAAAACTGCATTTTATAAAATAAAGAACATCTTATGCAATATATCTTTGTCATTGAGAGTTAGAAAAAGAATTCTTGCTTGCTACATAAATCAAGTTTTAATATATGGCTGTGAATCCTGGACAATCGGTAGGCAGGCCAAACAATTTCTGGAGGCCTCGAAGATGTGGTTTTACAGAAGAATGCTTAGAATACATTGGACAGCCAAAAAGAGCAACCAAGAGGTTTATAAAAGAGGCTGGAGCCCGAAGACAAATCACAGACATCAGAAGGAGACAGTCATCATTTTTCAGCCATGTTATGAGAAGAGGGAAAATGAACAACATGTGACCACTGGAAAGATCAGAGGAAGACAACGAGAGAAGATTCTTGACAGTCTCTTTGCTTAGCATGGAGGTATGTTAGCACACAAACTGATGCATGCTGCAGAAGATTGTGGAGACATGATTGCCCACGACAGTCGGCAAGGCACCTGATGTGAGGATGATGATTAGTAAAATGCAGAACCATTTTCACACTATGGCCTATTGTGCATTTGGTGTAAGACATAGGCGCCGACACCTGTGGGGTCAGGTTCTTTGAGCTTCCCATCACCACCGTTTTTTCGTTACAATGATGAACTTTTTGTTTCAGGCTGTTTAATTTCAACTTCTCTGCAACGATTTGATTTGATCCGACTAAAAAAAAAATGTACAGAAAAACCAGTCTATTATGAGCACCATTCCCCCCCCCCCCCCAATCCCTAATGTTGTTTTAAATCAATATTTAAACAATAAAAATTAATGTGTTGTGGGGGGGGGGGGGGCCCTTGAGCGCCACTTCCTCGTGGCTGTTAAAGACATTTTAAGGATTCTTCAGTAAAACTACATAGTTGAAGCAGTTATGTAACGTCTATAAATCTGTATGCTTCAAATTTCAAGATGAGCGTCTTTGGGATAACTGCAACTTTGACTAGCGGTGACTTGAGTCACCAGAGCAATACAAGATCTTATTCTCAGTCAGTGTTGTGTAAAGCTGAAGCTACGATAACTGTGGATACCGAACTGATATACTTTTGTATTAGTTTAACTTACACGCGCATCCTGGTGTAGGAGCCTGTCCTAGTACTAGGCACGTCCATCAGGTGGCGGATGGTGGAAAGGCCTCTAGATATAGAGGTTAGCCACGAATATATTGAATAAGTGGCCGTGGACCAAAACAGGTGATGGTCATTGAGAGGAGGCGAGTTAGTTGGTGGGACAGCTAACTCTATAAAATACCTCAAAACTCTACGACATGGCCATCAGCGGGTAAGAGGCGCCATAACCTCTCTCCCCTGCTCCCTTGCAGGGTAAGTCTCTTTAGACAAAGGCTATTGGAGTCAAACCATATACAAACCGGCGGAAGGCAAGGGGAAACACCGCTGTACTATCCCAAGAAAATCATGCCTCAAAATAATACCTATTCAGATAACGACGTGAATGGGGATTCTAATGGAATCACCTCGTCCGGTAGGGAGCATCATGTTCTACGGGTGATACCCGACCGTCATCCAGCTACTGTAGAAAAAGTAAATGGTAGAAACATTGGTACATGGAATGTCAGAACACTCGTACAAAATGGAAAGTTGGATAACATCAAGATGGAAATGAAAAGAATAAACATCATCATATTAGGAATTAGTGAAATGCGATGGCCAGGAGCAGGTGAAAAGTATTCATATCAGTACATCATTATTTACTCGGGTGGGAAGGAATATAGTAAGGGAGTTGGTATTATTTTGGATCAAAAGAACTCAAAAACTGTGAAAGGATTTTGGACAATATCAGATAAAGTACTATTAGTAAAACTTCGCGGCAGACCGTCTGCCATCAAATTAGTACAGATTTATGCCCCAACAGCAGATAGTTCAGAGGAAGATATTGACACATTTTATGATGAGTTAGACATGGCTGTTGATCAATGCAAAAATTGTGAAGTAACAATGGTACTTGGAGATTTCAACGTGAAAAAGTGTACGGGATGACGGGTGGCTATGGCCTGGGAGAAAAGAATGTGAGACGTGACAGATTAATAGCATGGGCTGAGTCACGCAGCATGATAATAGGTAACACCTGGTTTAAACACCATCCTCGAAGATTGTGGACTTGGAAAAGTCCTGGTGATAATGTCCGCAATCAGATTGATTATATTTTGATTTCAAGAAGATTCAGGAGCAGCTTAGTTTGAGCAAAAACTAGACCAGGAGCAGACTGCTTTAGTGACCATGTTCCAGTTGTACGAAAAATTAGAATAAAACTAAAGAACATTAGAAAAACACCGCAGAACATCAAGTTAAATTTAGGAATTCTTAGAACGGATAAAGAAATAAAGAACCAGTACAATGTCGCTGTACAAAACGGGTATAATGCAATGGAAATTATACAGACTATTGATGAACAGTGGGATATGTTGCGTGAGTCAATTCAGCAGACATCTAAAGAGACAATCCCACCAACCCATAGAGTTGCAAAAAAAGAAATGGATGTCAACCGAAATTCTGCAGTTGATGAATGAAAGAAGGAAGAAAAAGAATGATAAAGAAGAATACTCTAGAATACAAAAATAAATACTGAACAAATGCAAAGTGGCTAAAGAAGCCCGGTTGAATCAAATGTGTACAGAAATTGGGGAAAAGAACAGGAAAGACTCACATTCCATGTACCAAAAGATAAATATGTTAACAGGAAAGATGATACGTAACAGCACTGGATGTTTGAAATCAAAAGATGGTGACTTATTAATGGGACATAGTAATATAATTAACAGATGGACAGAGTATATAGGGAAATTATATGATGATAACAGACCAGATGGAAGATGCATAACTGAAATAAGAAACATATTTGGTCAGGCAAAAACTGCATTTTATAAAATGAAAAACATCTTGTGCAATATATCCTTGTCATTGAGAGTAAGAAAAAGAATTCTTGCTTGCTACATACATCCAGTTTTAACATATTGATGTGAATCCTGGACAATCGGTAGGCAGGCCAAACAATTTTTAGAGGCCTCAGAGATGTGGTTTTACAGAAGAATGCTTAGAATACCTTGGACAGCCAAAAAGAGCAACCAAGAGATTTTGAAAGAGGCGGGAGCCCGAAGACAACTTATCGCAGACATCAGAAGGAGACATTCATCATTTTTCGGCCATGTTATGAGAAGAGGGAAAATAGAGCATACTGTGACCACTGGAAAGATCTGTGGAAGGAGGGATAGAGGAAGACAACGAGAGAAGATGCTTGACAGTC